TACTATATATATATATATATATATATATATATATATACACACACACGTGTATATACATATATGTAATGACTACATATAAAATTTGAATTAATCTTTCTTCAAATCTATATTTATGTTTAACACATAGTCTTGTCTCCAGCGTTTCGGTTATTGTATCGTTGAAACGCAAATCAAGAGGTCTGTCTATTCTTCATGTTACATTCCTCGTCATTTTATTAATATTATGTCTCTCGTCAATTTATTTCTATAACAAACACATTACAAGGTTAATTTATTGTAACACGGCAAAATAAAAACCGCTCCACAAATATTGGGATGTAGAACGAAAACGTTCAGGGTGATTTGGCTATACATAATTTCCAAATGATTTCACGAATAACAATCGGTTTGCTTTATTATTATGTTGTTTGTGCATAATGTGAGTATAATCTTAAACTATAAACACTACGAGATGTAAGATTTCTGCGATGCCTTCTGTTACATTATGCTGCTAACTCTGTTCCTTTTGATACGGGATTCGGTCTATGCTTCTTATTACTATGAATTATACACAGATTTATTATGTAGCACATGTAATCGTGTATAATTATATAATTATACGACATGTATAATTATATAATTATTGACAGATATTCTTAACATCTTCGTATATATATTCTTTTCGAAAACTTTTTCGAGAATTGCAATCTAGACGCAATAAAATTTAAACAATTGCTTTAATAATAATAATAAAAAACAATGGCAATTTACAATTAAATTGTAATATCGAAAATATAATGTTGGGTCAGGAAAGCTTGCAAAACAGAAAAAGATTTCCAATCACAAATTTCAAGTAATCTCGAATTGTAAATAAAATGAGATCATATGTTTCATATTGACATGGTAAAAATTGAATTACCAATCTGATAAATATTGCTCTTAAGTATCGTGTTACGATAATAAATTCTGAAATAATATTTTATATAAAATAACGGCTCTATTATATACAGAAGTCATATAATCACGTCATGGAGAGACTTCATCTGGAAGTATTAATAGAAACTATATAGTAAATCACAAGATTATTACGCTCACTGATAATTTTTTTCATATTTGATTCCTTTTTCTTGAGATTTTAAGTCTAAACGAATATACTAACAAAATCGCATATGTATGCAACATCTTCATTCAAAGACATTTCTGTTCGCGAACAATGAATCAGAACAGTAATTCCAAAGATCTAGAAGTATTTAATTTTCATCTCTATATACCAACAGGCATGTTCATTGTGAAACATTGTAAAGTATTATATTATAGCGGCTTATGCTATGCATCGCGAAACTATTATTTATCTATTTAGTATTTTTAAGATATTTTGTATTTTCCTTTTTTTTGTCGGTCGCGAGATACTTCAGCAACCATAAATTTTGTGCATACTATTTAAATTAATCCGGTGGTAGAAAGCTGAATAATCGAAACTGTTCTCTAATGCGCGGCCTTACATCACCTCCCTGCGGTAAAAATAGTTAAAAAATAAATAAACGGATAATTGTATTTTTTATAACAACAAATATATACAGTAGGATAACTTACCCAGTTTACCAGATTTTCTAAAAACGGTAATAACTTCATTAGTTCATTATCCGAACGATCGGCAAACCAACTTTCTATAGGTATACCATTTTCTAGCTGTAACGTAATAGATTTTTTTAGTATACATTATTGATTGTATCAGACATTCAAAAAAATTATGGGCTATCAAATTACCTGATATCCAAATGCTTGTGGACTGTTGTCGATAATCACGGTTTTAGATAGATCCCTGCCTAAAATCGATAAATCTTTTATGTAATTCCCATTAACGCAAACACAATGTTCCCTGAACAGGCGATATTTGATCAGCTTCCGCGTTGGATCTAGCAGATTCATTAGTTTATTAGCATACACCCGTTTGCTCGCTGTAAACAGGATCACTTCATATAGTGATGAAACGTGTTCGAGGAACTCGCGGAAATACGGTCGTGTTCTAACGAATACTGTATATGTTACGTCCTGAAAGACTACTGGGAAACGAAACGCCGCATCAGATAGTTCTTGCAAACTGCAGTGAACCAAGGTCTCATCCTGCGAAAGGATCATACGTAAGCTAAATGTATATTATATTGTGTGTTAAATTATATTAATTTTCTAGATGAATAGATAGAATCTGAATTGTGTTCGAATTTAAATACGAATGTATGTTCGTCCTATTATGTTCTATTTTCGTATATATGTGTGCATGTGTATATGATGTTATATGTTCTATATATGTATGCATGTGTGTATGATGTGTATATATGTTATATATATATATATACACATATATTGAGCATACCAAGTCCAGAACTAGACTAAATTCCGGGCTGCTTCGTGTTTTGAGCGGCAGGGCCGGGCATCTTGCTCTCATCGCCGGCGTAAGAGGCGGCAGATGCTTGATGAAGACATAAGGATCGAACGGCTCCCAGTCTTCCTGAACTTGAGTAACCATGTTTTCTACATCGCAAGATTCTACTATCTCCTCGCTTCCCACCTCCATGTATTCAACCTCGTGATAACGACTGTCGACGTCCTCAGAATCATATTTGTCACTAAGATTGCCGTTCGTATCGGATGGATGATGAGGATTTATATTGTACATACTTGCTGGTATACTGTATTTTGTACTGGGATATCCAGCAGTTGTTTCATATTTTGTTGGGTCTGTTTCAATAGCATATTGATCTTTTGGGAGATCACTGCGGTTTTCATTGTTATCGATTAGCGAATATTTTCCGCCGTTCGGGAAGTATTTGTCGGACGAGTTGTACGCGGTACGGACGTTATATATCGATGTCGAGTGCATCAAACTGTAGTATTCCGCAGACGTAGTTTCGGCATGCGCATATAAGGAAGAGTAGGGTAACGACGATGGTACTGTAGTATCTGCAAAAGAAAAAGATGAATAAAAACAAGATAATTTAAAATCAAATTTAACTATACAGATATATGTGAATATACAAGTACCATTATTCTTGTTTCCTTCATCATCAAGCAAGCACGTGAGATCTGACTGCGATTCTAGAGATACTGGAGGCATTAGACACGACAGTGAAGATATACTGGGTATGGAAGATTTCAAGTCATGTACTGGCGGTATCATCGAACCACGCGAATCTGTATTAGTTACTGACGAGCAAAGAGGCAGAGCAGATCCACCATTCCAATTTTCCTTGGATTCCTTCGAAACTTTAGATGGCGATGCAGTTTTAGCAGACTGTAAAAGATTGTACATATTATATGGAGATATTTTACACATCATCTTTTCGTTATAGAACAACTTACTATAACTGGGTCTATTTGTGGAGTACGATGCAAGGGAGTCGATGTAACCATCGAACGTTTTATGCATTTTCTTCTGCGAGGTCCTCTTTCCCGTCTAATAGGTGTGGATTTGGCAAAGTGTAAAATATTTTCTTTACAAGCCTACAAAAATAATGACCTTCTTAATAAAACCTAATATCAGTTATTCAATTATATATATTTTGTTAAAAGAATCTTGTTAAAAAACATCCTATTAAAATAAAAAAATATATTGATTATAGCATACCATTTGATATACTCATACAAATAAATATTATCTCATCTTTGCAAATGACATTTAACTTACTTCTTTTAGAAAACTGGATGATCTACGTCGCCATTGACTTAATCGGCTGCATTTACTTGATGTTATTACTCTACTACTGTTACCAATATGTTGTACTTTTCTTGCTGCTACTTGTGCTCGGTGACTGGTTGCCTTCGACACCGTTACACCACTCAAACTTAAACGGCCACGCAATCTCCTACTAATCCGTTCGCTTCTCAGCCACATTTCAACAGAGTTGTTAAGTGTCCTGAAACAGAACAATTATTGATCGATAATATATTTCACAATCTTTGGCAAAGAAAAATATTTTGTAAATATAGAAAAAGTATATTTAACAAATTCTGCTCAATACTGTTAAATATTTATTAAAATTACATTTCTAAAAATGACACGTCTTTTAAAAACATATTAAAACCACTTTGCCTCTGGAAGTATCTTAAAATTCAATTTTTCTCGTGACAGCCAAATGACGATGTGCACATTAGAAATCGTTATTTATTTTTTATATTGACCTGAAGGCGATTTCGTAGTTGTTCAAGTGTCGCAAGATTCGCGGTACGCGACGAGTCGCGGGCGAAACGGAGGAGCCGCGAATCGCACGAGGGGGATTTCAAAGATCGCTCGCGACATTGGCGCGCGCTATCGACGTTTCGCGCCGGGCGAGATCGCGCGGGAAAGAAGTTCGATCGTTTCATAAAAAGGGGCGTTCCGGAGGCGCGCCTGTGTGCGTGCGTGAACGCGCGCGCATCCAAGTGTGCTCTTACAGCGACACACAACCTACTGCGTATACATGCACATACGTATACGCGCGCGCACACCCACCACACACACACACACACACACACACACACATATATATATATATATATATATATACACACACAGCGAGCCGTATATCGATTTATATGCAGCCCACCGTCGCGTCGCGTCGCATCGCGTTGGTTTCGCCGGGAGACGTTTCACGCCGGTCAACAGATTTTCCGAATTAACATCGGGCCGTTCTTCATTACTTCTCACAGAAAATCACACGAAACCATCGAAAGTGCACGACGTAACATTACGCCGTGCACCTTGGCAACCGCACAGCAGAGTCAACAGGAGGGGTGGGGGTGGGCGGAGGCGAACGACGAACCACGGAGAGCGAGGCAGCTTGTGGGATGGCTTGAGAGAATCCGCGCGAAAATC